CAGCGCACGGGGAGAAGGTGTTGCAGGCTTCTGACGATTTGCCCTTCACTTGCCCATAAAATCACCCATGGTGAAAATAGAAAATAAAGCCAGGCCCTTGTTCTGGCCTGTAGTATTTCACCGTCTGAAGCAGTTGAAAACTTTCTTGTCTGGGTTCGTCTCCCCTGGACCAGCTTACCTCTCATCTCCTTTGTCTTTGGAGACCTCCTTTGGTTTCCGAGATCTTTGGTGTCCTTTACACTCACCCACGGTCCCCAAGGCCAGTGATTCAGTAGTGGCTCCAAGTGAATGTTTACAACCCAGTCATTGCAGTGAATTAAGAAATAACGGGATACAAACCCAAGTCGGGGTGCAGGAGCTGGGGCAAGGCTTGGACTGGACCCAGGGTCTTGGACCTGGCTGTGTGGGGGCCGTGCTCCCTGTCCCCATGCCGGTGAAGCCGTGTGCCAGGTGGCAGCGAAGCGTGCCTAGGAGTGTCTGTCGCTCCTCACCTCAGTGTTAAAAACACAGCAGTTCTAGGGCTCTGCTGCCGCCGCCGCTGCTGCTGCCCCCGGCGCACTTAAACTTGAGCCTGCACCTTAACCTCCCCGAGACTCAGTTTCCCCATCTGTCCCGTGCGGAGGTGGTGCAGAGCCCAGCAAGGCCTAGAAGCTCCGACGTGGGCCGGTGAGAGCAGTGCTGACAGTGGTCTGGCATGGTGGCCCTGCCCTCGCCTCACATTCGGGGAGGACGCACCGCTCCTGCTGCCCCTTTGCCAAGGGAAACTGAGTCTGAGACTGGACTCTGGCAGACTCGCCCTGGTGCCGTCTCCTGCGGTTCTGTGGGATTGGAGGCCATCAGTACGGGTGGCCCGACCTTGGCCGGATGTGGGGGCCCCCTGCGGGTCTAGCCCAGAAGTCACCTCGGGCGCTGGGGCCCCCTTTCCCTCACTCCTCAGGCCTTTGCTCCGGGGAGAACAGCAGCTCTCTTGAGCTGCTGGTGTGATGTTGAGTCTGGAGTCAGGAGACCTGTGAGCGTAGGGGTGACCCGCGGCCCCTCGGGGAACCGGCCCTGCCGCACGAGCACCTCTTCTCTGCTGGGTCACAGTGTGCTCGCTGAACGACCCCGCAGGCCGGGCTCCGAGGCTGCCTCCCGGGAGCTCCCCACAGGGCAGACTTGCCATAGCCAGTCGTGTCCCTAGGCCATGGCGCCACCCGAGGGGTGGCTCGTTCTCCTCCTGCCCTCTGTGTGGGTGGCAGTCGTGAGCTCGTGAACCAGCCCCTGGTGGTGAAGCTGGACAGCGGTGGGTGTCCCAGCCACACGGCCCGTCGGCAGTCCGCAGACCTCGGGGCGACATGCAGCCGTTGGGCGCACGCCGGTGGATCTGGCCACGCTGACCCCGTTCGCTGCGTTTTCATCTTCCTGTCTGCCCTCCCTGCCGGCGAGCTGGGTGGCAGATGGCTGGCTCAGAACCTGGGTGTCCACTTCGCTGGCGCGTGGCTGGCATTGGGCAGGGCTGCCTGCCTGCCCCTCCTGTCGTCCTTGCTTGGTCGGCTGTGGTCCCTGTCTTATTCACAAACTCCAGTGCCATCGCTGAGGTTTCTTAGCTGTGCTTCCCTTCCTTGGACACAAGCATGCAGCTGGGACAGCAGGCTGGGGCGGGGCCGGAGAGTGAGGGGCGGCTGCACAGGTGAGAGTGTCCAGCCCTAGCGTCTGGGTGTCCCTGGCTCCATCCCACACAGCTCTGGAGGAGGACAGTGGGTCAGGGAGGAGCATACTTTTCTCAGAGCCTCTCGTGAGCGAGGGCTGCAGCTGCCACTGGTGGGGGGCTCCCTGCATGCTGTCTCCCCCGAGCCTGTCTGTCCGATTTTTGGCTGCCAGCCCACTCGTGGTGAACCCCCCCATAAAGACAGGACGCAACAGGTGGGCAGGGAATGGGGAGCCATTCTGGTCCCAGGGCAGCTTGCTGGGCACTCTCCTGTGTTGGCCAGGCCCCTGCCCACGGAGAGCAGGCTCATGGAATTAATTCAGGGCTTTCTCACAACATGGCCTCTGGGTGGCATGGCTGTGACCCAGGCGATCTGGGAGCTTGGCCAACGAGTCTGGGTCCCACACTAACTGTCCAGCTCCCGGGGAGTCCAGGAAGCTGGGATGTGGCCCTTCCTGGGCATGGCCCTCCTGTCCTCCTGCAGGGGTCTGTGGCCCTGGTGGAGGAGCTGCTGCTCAGCCCTGCACCCTGGGGCATGGTAGGGTGGCCGGGTGAGGCCTCAGCCTGTGAGTGGCAGGGAGCTTGGCAGGGTGCACGCCCGGGGTCAGGGGTGACCTTCTTCTCGCTGTGTGAGAACTGCGCCTGTGTATGACCCCGGCTGCCCCGGGCTGCCCCGGGCTGCCGTCTGGGACCTCACTGGCTGCCAGGGAAGCTGTGTCTGCCCCCGGCCTTGGCGTCTTCAGGATCCTTTCCAGAGCTCCTCATCCCCGCCCCATACCCCTATCCTGGCTCAGCTGCTGCCCCAGCTCTAGCTCCCTGTTTTACAAGCTTTCTGACTCGGGCAGTGTTTGTTTTCACTGTGCCTCAGCTTTATTATTTGGTTAGTGAGGGTGTAGTTAGGACTAAATGAATACTGTGCAGTGTGATCGAAAACTACAGTGAATATTGAAATTTAAAAAATGAATTATAGTAAAAGGCTTTGCGCTGAACCCCCTGCCCCCTTCTTTTGAGCACACTCATCGCACTGTCCTCACCACTTTCTGAGGCCGCTCTGGAATCCTCTTTCCTGTGTGTCTTCAGTTTTGATGTCGTGGCTGTCCCAGCATCCCGAATCTGTTCAGAACGTTTCCCTTTCGTAGTCACTTGGGGAAGAGCCGGAAGTTGCACGGTGCCAGATCCAGTGAATACGGACGGTGAGGACACAGCGTCAGCTTGTGAGGAGCCAGCCTTTCCGCTGGATGATGCTTGATAGCAGCATTCACCGTAATTTTTCACACCTCATAGAGACACCCACGAGAGAGGACTCCAGAGCTGCTCCGGAAAGTGGGATGAGTGTTTGAAGTGAGGAGGAAGATTTTGAGGGAGGTTCGTGGCAGTGCGCCCCTCACTGTGAACTTCAGCATTTCCTGTGCACACTGACCCCTGTGTAAGTGTGAGTCGCGTTACCCTTGAGAGTCCTGCCAGGGGTAAGAAGGACCGTGCAGCACTCTGGCCGCTGTCCCCAGACCTGCAGACTGAGCCCACACTTCTGCAAGGCACCAGGCGTCCTCGGCCTAGAGCCCCCCTGGCTGGCGCACGGGGCAGAGGCCTGGGACTCGCAGACGGCCTCCCCTCCTCCTGTGGCTCCCACAGGCGGGTGTGCTCCTGTGGCCGGGCTCACCCACCGGGCTTTGCTTTTACCCTGCATGTGCCCCGAGGGTGAGGGTGTGTGTGGTGTGGGCTCAGGAGGAGCGTCCCGTGATACAGTGTGCTGCAGGACTGTCACCCGGCAAGCGTGGCCCCGGCTGTGGGTCCCTGAGTCCCGGCCTTGTTCATTCGCTGCCCTTCGTGCACGATTCGATTACCGTGTGCTAGCGCTTAGTTGCTTCCATTCCTCAGCACGAACGGACGTAGGGCTCTCACCCCGTCTTACTGATGGGGACACAGACCCGTGAGGGTCCTCTCTGCTGTCCCCATCCGGCCTCTGTCAGCACGTGCCCAGCACCACAGCAGCCGCTGCAGGGCAGGTGCTTTCTGGTGCTTTCTCAAAAAAGGAGAGAGAAGGAAAAGCTGCCAGCCCTGCAGGGGGCTGGGTCCGTCACCTTTAACGGGCGGCGGGGTTGGCGGCCGGGTGTGGGGCCCCGCATGCGGTTTTCGCATTACACTGGCGGTGGCCGTGTTTAAAACACCGTTTTATGAGGCGCACACTGCTGTCTAAACTCGGACGTTTATGGAGGTGCCTGCGCTGTGTTGCCCAGACACCTGAGTCCCGGGCCGGCTTCGCTGCTGACGTGTGCCCAGTGGGCTGTGGTTTCAGACGTTTGGTCATCTCTCTCTTCCTGCGCTTTCCTTGTAGACGCGTAGGTCCCCGAAGCCTGGAGAGGGGTCCCTGTCCCCGCAGGGCCTGTCCAAGCACCACGTGTGCTGGCTGCTCGTGGAGTGGTCACAATGGGTGCGATTTTTGCTTCTGGCTCACGGGCTGGGGCCCAGACTGCTTGGTGGGCTTCTTGCTCCCTGTGGGTTCCCTCTTTCCTGTGTAGTTTTCCCCTTCTTAGAGGCAAAGCAGGCTAAGAGACAGCCGGCCTGTCATGAGCAAAGATGGGTCTGTGGGCAGAGGTTTCTGCTGGCAGATTCCTGCTGCCATTTAATGCCTCTTGTTCCTTTGAGTGGTGCTGTGTGCCATGCCGTGGCCCTGGTGATCTTCTGCAGCGTGGGTTTGCACGCGACATCGGCTCAGAGCTTGGACATTGCGGGCCGGGCGGGGAGGCCGGACAGGGGCCGCTGCTTTTGTTTCATCCTGGTTTGTCTCCAGTGGAGCCTTTTCTTTCATCACACCGTGCTGGGGAAGGTGTCTTGGCAGGGAGGGTGCGGGAAAGATCTGGTCTGGAGCAGTTTACCAGCACGCAGCCGAGGCTGGGGTCTTAAAACCCAAGGTTTGGGGCGGAACTGGCCTGGAGATTGGCAGGGAAGTGACTCTTAAAAAAGTCATCACTGCACGTTAGAGATGTGCTGCATGCGGACACCCATTGGACGGAGCTTGCCTTTTTCTGCTCTCAAAGGATCAGGGCTCCTAGAGTAAATGAATCTGGCCATATTAGGCAGCCTGTGCTTTATAAAAAACCCATGATCCTAAACCCTAGGCTGTTAAAAGCTAATGTTTTCTGTTGCTGGAAGAAGGATGTTTTTGTTCTAGATGAATGGGGCTATTTCAGGAACTTTGTTTTGGTGATTGTCAGTTTTGCCAACAAGTAACATCTGTATTTATTCTTCACCCCCATGGCTGATTTGCATCTGTTTAGTTCTCTGAGTAACGTTTCATTTCCTGACTTTATAGGTTGCTATAAAATCCATTCGTAAGGACAAAATTAAGGATGAACAAGACATGGTTCACATCCGACGGGAGATCGAGATCATGTCGTCCCTCAGCCATCCTCACATCATCAGTATTTATGAAGGTCAGTGACGCCTCTCTTCACTCCCCTGTCAGTTACCATCCCCACGCCACCCGGCTGCCAAGGATTGCCTAGGTACCAGCCCTGCTGGGCCAGAGCCGAGTATTTTTCCTCATGATGCAAAAATAGCCCGGTGTCATCTCTTTCGGTTACCTTGCATGCAGCCGGACACACACAGGGCAGCTCACTGGGTCGTAAACCATCTCTGGCAGTCACTTTACTCCATCCTCCTGGGTCCCGGCTGTTGCATAGCAGCCTGTGTCATTGAAAGCGAGTCTGGGAGACAGCCGGGGAGCCTGAAAGGTGGCAGCTTGCCGGGTGACCAGCTGACAGCAGGTAGACGGTCACTGTCATCCCCTGACCAGGGACGCTTTGCTGGGGTATGAAGCATTTCTAAGTTTGGCTCTTTGAGTTGGGAATGAACTCTGAGCAGGTCCAGGAAATGCTGAGAACTGGAGGCTGGGGATTTAGCTCAGTGGTGCCACCGCCTGCCTCGCAAGTACAAGGACCTGAGTTCGATCCCTGGTATCAAAACAAAACAAAACAAAAAAGAACCGGGCTGCAGATGCTCTGCAAATGCAGCGCGAATTGCGGCTGGTGTTTATGAAAGAGCAGGGTGGGGAAAGCTTATAAAAATGCTTCTGCTTCAGTTCAGCTCTTTCTCGGTCCTCCCTGAGAAGACACAGAAAGTACAAACCTCTCACAGCCTGTCATTATTTTTTAATATCCTGCAAAGAAATGACACAGGCAGTGCGTGTGATCGAAACGCACATGTTAAAAATGAAAAAGAATCTTTCTTCTAACCCCTTGTTTGTTACCTTACCCCATTTGTGCCTGTATTTTTAACCTGTTTCTCTGTATTCATTTGTGGTTTTTACCCAAAGTCAGATGACATTGCTTATGCTGCTTTTTAGCTTGCTTTGCTTTTTCATGGGTTACATCATGTGTCGGTCTGTGTCAGTAAATATTGTTTGTAAAAACATTTAAAGAGGCTTTGCAATATTTCATTTATGGGCATACCGTATTTTATTGAATCTCATTCCTGTTGCCAAACGTTTAAGTTGTTCCAAATTTCTGGCTGCTGTGAACAGGGTTTAATGATCTTCATTCTGTATCATTTTCTGATTGTTTTTGTAGGAAAACATTCCTAGTCTTGGGCTTTAACGAGTCCAAGAGTCTCCCAGGATACTTGTGAATATGAGGTGCAGTCAGATAAATGAATCTATTTTTAATTTTGGGGAGGGGGCCTGAGGGGTTATCAGGTAGGGCTAAGAAACCAGGTGGTGTTTAACTTTCCTTCACCCTCTTTGCCGCCCCCCTTGCTGCTTTTGTTTTTTTTTCTTATCTAGAAATAAATATTTGCATATCTTATCTTTCATCCCTGTCTTTCTAAAGCTCATTTTGGAGCCATTGGGGAATGAGATTTTTAAGGGAGGTTTCAGTCCTTCAGGGGTGTACTCCTTTCACAAACATCTCTGCCAGTGATTCTCAAAGCGCAGCCTGGGGGTCAGCAGCATCAGCTGGAGGTGATTAGAAATGCAGGTTCTCAGGCCTCCCCCGGCCCGAGGAACCGGAAACTGGGGGCGGGGCAGCAGTCTGTGCTCTCACGGGTCTGAGCATCATGGCTCTGCAGAGTGTCAGCTTCCTGTCAAGAGCTCTTCCCATGAGCTTGCACGTTCAGAGACAAGTGTGGTGTGCATCCTGGAATCAGGAAACACACAGCCGTGTGGAAAAGTATCGTGCATCTACGTAAGTAGCAGAAACCAGGACTCCAGAGGCCGGGCTGTGGGAGTCGTGCAGATGCACGGTGTCTGGACTGACGTAAGGGAGGCTTTTTGGGAAAAGAATCAACAAGTGTGGAATTCCACCCCGATAAACCTGAACACGCTGGTGAACGAAGGGGATTGTAAACATTACAGCGAGTAGAGTGTGGCAGTGGGAGTGCAGGGCAAGGCGAGTTGATGGGATTCTGAGGGTTTTGCTGCAGGCAGCCTGGTTACTGTGGAGACCCAAAGGCCAGGGTGACGGTGACCCGTGTGGAGTGGACTGGGTGGGTCCTGTGCGGTCCGAGCGCCGCTCTGAGAGCTGCTGGCCTGGAGCGCGGAGCTCCATCCAGAAGGCAGAGAGGCCAGCACAGCGGAAAGTCTCCGGCTGGCAGTCCGGCTGGACGAAGTCCGTGTGTCCAGCACCATGCCCGCTCTGGGATCCGGCTGAGATGAATGGGGAGCAGGAAGCGGTCCCCCTGCCCAGGGCTTGGCCAGAGATGAACCTCAGTGGAGGATGTTCTACGACAAGGGCAGGCTGCGTCAGTCCGGAGGGAGGGGAGCCCTTGCTTCGTAACCTTAAAGAAGTGTGCCTGCGTGGATCACAGTTTTCCTGGGAACTAGAAATAATTCCAAAGCCGCACGGAAGAGCGTGGGTCTGCGTGTCGGGCAGATGCAGGTTTCAGTCCCAAGTCCAGGGACTTTGTGTAGGTCGCCTCGGCAACCACACCTGCCCTCAGGTGGGGCTGCTGGTGGGGTTGACAGCACAGGGCACTCAGGGAGATCATTGCTGCATTGTCACGAGGAGGACACTGGAGTGTGGCCAGTGGGTACCATGCAGGCAGTGCGTCTAGGACGTTTCATCACACAGAAGTCCCTCCTGCACGGTGCTGCTGCTGTGCTTTTTGTCACCTGCATGGGTTGGTTTCTTTCTGGGGAGAAGGCACATAGCTTTTGCCAGACTCCCTGAGGGATTCCTGGCCTCCAGTAGGTTAAAGAGAACTTACTGCCTTTTAAGTGCTTTGTGAGATGCAAGTTCCACACAAATAAAAGTTGTTGTGTTGATTTGGAAAACTCCTAAGGACTTAAATGGGGTCTTTTCCCTTTGAATTCCTCAGAGATCCCTGCTTTCTGTTCTGTTCCCTTTCCCTCTGCTTCTCTACGTGTACTGAGTCTCTGTAGAGGAGAGCAGCGCCCTTCTCTTCCCGCTTGGGGAGCAGCAGCTGTGCCCAGGCTGCGTCCCAGTGCTTACACCTCTGCCTGGGACCCCACAGTCCTCTACCCTGTGATTCCAGCTGCTGTGTTGCCCAGGACCCCTGGACCTGGCTCTGCAGGGGAAGAGTCCCACAGAACTTGGTAGTTTGCAGAGTTCCCAGGTGAACCGGTGAGCCCAGGAGGCCAGCGTTTCCCACCGCAGTGGGGGAAACCGAGGCTCTGGGCGGGTGGGGCCTTGCTCTGTGCTAGTTTGCTGTAGCCGAGCAGCACCGACTCGGGGCTCAGACGACACACGTCTCTTCTGTCGCGGTGCTGAGGGCTAGAAGTCTGAGCGAGGTGACAGCAGGCAGCTGTCTGTCCCCAGACTTCCTCTTCTCACAGGGACACCAGCACCTCACCTTGACTTACTGATCTCTGTGAAGACCTCTGAGGTACTGGGAGTTAGGGCTTCACCATGACCTTGGGGGAGGGGACACATCAGCCCATCACATTAGTGGCACAGCTGGGTGCTGGTCCTGACACCCAGGCCTCCTGACCCCATGTCTCTTTGACCTTGCCAGAGTCCTGCATTTCTGTTGGCCTCGTGTCTGGTGTTGCCAGCTCTGTGGTCACCTCTGCCCGGCCCTTCTCCTGACTGGCTGCCCTTGCACAGCCCTGGGGCGTGGTGGTGGTGGTGGTGGCAGCTTCATGTCTGTGGGCCGCTCAGCCCAGAGCCTGAGTGAGTGTGGAAATGCCTTCATTTGCTTAGTGGGAAATCAGGGCTGAGGCCATTAAGTGGCTCTTTGGACATTAGCCAAAGGAATAGAAGCTATTAAAGAACTTCACACTTCCTTCTTCAGTAAGGACCTTTATAATTACACGCGCACGCGCGCGCACACACACACACACACACAGGCCCCAGCAACAGCAGCGACATGGCAGAGCAGCATGCCCAGCCCTGCATGAAAGTCTGTAATAACTTGTGGTACTGGGGTACGGTGCCTGAGAAGAAGAAATTCATTCATGAAAGAATACTAAAAAGTACCTGCTATGTGCTGAGCCTCATTTAGACACTGGGAACACAGGGCAAACAAAACAAGTGCCTACCTTTCTTGGAACTGGCATTCAAGGAAGGGAGACTGGCATTCAGCTGAGCGAACAGATACAGTGGCCGTGGAAGCATTTCTGACGTGCTTTTTGAGAAACAGTCTTGAGTTGAGTCCTTAGGGAAGCAGGTCTAAGCCCTTCAAAGATCTGGGTTTTAGGCACAGGGAATGCATAGGCACGTTCTCAGAGCAAGGGCGGAGCTTTTGTTGGTAGAAATGTGCATTAGTCAGCTTCCCAGTGGCTGTCACGCAGTACTGACACTTCAGTTTAAAAGAGGGAAGTTTGGCTCAGTTTCAGGGATTCAGTCCATGGTTGACTGTCTCCAAGGCAGAAACATCACGGCCGATGGGTGTGGAGGAGCAAAGCTGCTCGGTTCAGGGTGGCCAGGAGACAGAGCAGGGGACGGCAGCAGAGAGGATAGGTAAGAGATCAGGTATTACACCCAAGGCAGTGCCTCTGTGACCCACCCAGACACACCCAGAAGTGTGTCTGCTCATCCCTGGGGTGGCTCCCAAGCCAACTGAGTTGACAGAATTAAGGTTCTCAGCTCAACATGACGGGGGACCTACGAAGCTGAGGGAGGGGCTGAGTTGGTAGGTGCAGGAGAGAGGAGTGGGATCGGCCGTGTCTTCACCACCCTGGTAAAGGAAGGAGTGTGGACTCTATGCCAGGCATGATGGGAAGTTACTGGAAGGTTCCGCGGAGGAGGTAGCTTTTTTATTTTCGCTTAAAAAGTCACTTGTATTAGCAAGGAATTACTGTTTACCCTGTGCTAGGAGGTATACCTGTCTTATTTCATCCTTATATTTGTGAAATATGAACTATTAACACCCCTGGCTTATGGAAAATTTGCCTTAGGGGCCACATTCCTTTTCCAGAGTTATTCCAAGTAGTAAGTAGTGGGTTGGTTGTTGATCCTGGGGAGGAGGTGGAGGCACT